ATTATCTGTGTTGTAACTACTAGGTTTAATCTTAAAAATCATTTATTACAACAGTAGAGTAAATGTTGTGTTGAAAATAATATAATAGTCTAGACGGCAACAACAACAAAAGTATAAGCCGCATGTTGGGCCTTCAGTTCTCTAGGCAGCATAATAATCCAGACACATAGTAATGCCATGTCTGCTTTAATTTGCTTTGGAAACATAACCCATGAGTTAAAAAACAGATAAGCTGCAGGGAGATGTTTAAAGATAGGCAGAACACCCGTACCAGTGAACTGCAGTGAAAGAAAGGGGGTTGGTATGCGATGAGCTTGGTGCATCAGCAGCCACACACCTGCAGGTCTCAGCTGCTCTGTAGTTAAGCTTGAGCTCAACAAGTGCTGAAAACCACTGGCAGGTACTGGTGATACTGGTGTTTGTCCCCCTCCTTCAAGACATTTCTTATCTTGTACTTTGTGCCACCACACTGCCAAGCAGGAAGGGACAGGGGAAGTGCTGCAGCTGTAAAGGTAGAAGGGAGGGAGGTGAAAGTGCTGCAGAAGAGCTCCCTTCCAAATTGCTTCCAGATGTGCAGGTCTCTTCTGTCTGCTTCGTTGTTTGATAGCAGGGAGGAGACCAGCTTACCAGTCTGCAGGCAACTCAAGACATCATCGTGATGGCCTTTGCAAAAGGTGGGAGTCTGGTTCTCCTCCCTCCTACAGCATGGGTGTCACTCCAGTGCCTCTCATCTCCGTGGCTGCTCTGGAGAGGGGCAAGCAGAGGCTGATCCGTCTGGCCTGAGTAATGAGGATCCTTGCCGCTGAGGCACATGTGTATTTTTCCTACCAGATAACACACCCATGGTCAGGTTCTGGGTCAGGGCAGACCACGTCTGACTGCTGTGCAGGATTCAGCTTTGGTGCTGAGCTCAGGAGAACAAAATTAAAAGGGGCACAGGCATGGGACAAAATTGATGTTTCCATTAACTGCAGAGTGGCCTCACACTTTGAGAATGTAACAGGCCTGCACTGAGTATGAGAGTGATTGCAATACCTCTAATGTTTGCTTTGTGTGTTTGGATTGCAAACTCTCTGGCCCGAGGACTGTGTCTCATCATGTATTTACACAGATCCCAGCACAGCAGGTCACTGGTCTCAACAGGGGCCTCCGATCTCAAGTGATAATAATGAACTGGCTTTCTTCTAAGTGTTATTTACCCAAATAATACTGTGTTCCATTGTGCAGCGTTGTTTTTATTAATATTTTTTTTCAGTTCAAATGAAATAAAAACGTTGTCCACCCAAACACCGAAGAACAATATGAGTGCTCCTCTCCTGCTGGGAAATAAAAATTCAAGAGTTTCAAATACCAGTGCTTCCTGTCCCCTTTAGTCACTTTGAGAACTTGTGTCTGATGATAAAATGCTTTAAATCCATTTTAAACCTTGTCCAGGCTGGCATTCCTTGTCTGGATCTTAGCAACACAACAAAGCTTGCTTTGAAAGTCTCGTAGAGATGCAACCCCCAGTTCACGTAGTTGATACTTATGTGAAGAAGCCCTATGTATTTGTGTAACAGCTGCTTGAATGCACATTTGCAGAATCCATACCGGCATCTTTTAAAACATGTGATTTAACTTTAAAGCTGAAGAAGTTTTTGGGAAGATTGCAAACCAGCCTGTTCTTTGGAACTAAGAGATGCATTTTACCTAAGGAGAAAACCCCAGAAGACAACCCAGAATCGCTCCACTAAACTAATTTTATTGGAGGCAAAGATTTTTTTTTTCCATGCACTTGTATGTGAAGGGTCTGTATATTCTCTTCTGTTCCGCTGAACAGCATTATTGGAAGCTGATTGTGCATGTAGCTATGTACAGGGTCTCTATCTTTGCTAAGGTGAGATGCTGGGAAAGGTGGTTTGGGTCTTATCGGATTGGTTTGCAAAGCATACAGAGTTACTCTCAACTCAAACTACATGATGAAAAGTGAACGCTTCTACTTTAAAAATGTAGATCAGCAATGATGTCTTCAGCATGAAACTGCCCAATGTAGCCAAGGCATAATTTTATTATCCCATATGAAAGACAAATATGACCTCATTGTGTTTTGTATGAAGAACATTATTTTGAGTCTGTCTGGTTCCTGCAAGCTTGCTGAGCTGTGTTATTCAGTAATGTTTGGCATATGATAACTTGTTCTGAGGCTGGTGTGCAGAAAGAAAGAAAATAAGGCCAGGTTGGAGCTGCCATCTATTTCCATGGTTTTATTCTTGCCCTTTGAGTCCTTTGTCAGGCAGTTGCAGTCTGCTACAGTACAACTCCAGTTGTTTTGTGTCGGTTCTCTTCCAGACTGCTAAAGACGTAGGTTGTCTAAAAGGCTAAAAAGGTCTGGCCTTAGCTGCTGGGACACCGGCTTTTCCTTCTTTGATCTATTATAGAGATGATAGTCTTTAAATCAGCTATCTTAATGAGAGCAAACTTGCCAGCACCGACAACATAGCATTTTCTTAGGCAGATCTGCACAGGTGTGTGAGCAGGCCCCCCCCCCCATCTTTCTGTATGGGGGTTACCTGGGCATAAACCACCCCAGGCAAGGAGCTTTGTCACTGCCAGAGCCTGCTGCAGGTTTATATGCACTGCTGCAAAGGTGCATTAATTCCTAGCAGAACTGGGCCGCAGGGGACGTGGCTGCTGCCCCACCAGCTCAGCGCGGCCAAGGACCCCAACTGTCACATGCCAGGCAGTCACATGCCTGGCCCTGAGCTCCCCGAGAGCCTGCTGAGGGTCAAACATCTTCACAGCCAGCTCTCTGCTAGGGTTGTGGGAACTAGAGGTTTCAGCAAGGATAAAAATTAATATTGCCATGTTCACTTCCATTTTTGGGTGAAAACAGAAAACAAGTGAAACAGATGAAGCTCATAGATTTAGGGAAAAAGTAATTTCTAAATTACAACTTCATTGGTCTGATTATTCTATAAATAATGTTTTTTTTCAAGGCTGATGTTTCATTTTGTTATTTTGGAATGGAATTGTCATGTTTACCTCCTCAGTTTGGGACTCCTTGAAGTTTTTTCTATTTTTTTCTTACTCTTCCTTCTTGGAACAATTGTAATGAAGTAGGAAAACTCAGTTTTCATCTACTTTTAGTATTTTCCAAATAGAAAATATGAGACCAAAATTACAAGGCACTGAATTCAAAGGCAAACTCCCCTACAAACACATTCACTTTTTCTCCATTGTTCTGTTTCCTTGTTTACTGTAAAGAAGAAGTGAAAAATATATTCCCTTTGCACTTCCTTGAGCTTCACTGAAAAGGAGGGATAAAGAAATAAAAACAAGTGCTCAAATGGTTTCCAAAATAATGACATTAAATGCAAAGTGTAAGATCCATTTTTTAATTCAGCAGTGTTTGGTTTTCCATACTACTTTTGGAAATGCCCATAATTTTAAAAGCATCTGTTCTTTTGACTTACCTGTTACTTCCAGCTGAAATTTTTTAAGTAGCTCTGCTTGAGTCAGTTGAGTGAAGAGCCTCTAGAAGAAGGAAAAAAAAAAAGTATATGCACTTAATGAGCAACAAAGTTAGTGATCTGTCGCAATTACCCAAGTGAGTAATTCTGTTTCATTAATGCACCCTAAAGCACCAAGCTGTTTTGTCAATGGGTACTGCAGGGCCATTGCAATGCTCAGAGAGACAGTTACGTTACCAACTGCGGCGTAAGGGATAGGTTTACCAACAAGGAGGGAGAGAGGAAGTAGCTTAGCGTAAGAAGAAAATTAAAGACCATCTATTAATGTCATGTAAGCCAATAGCAATACTTGTAAAAACTCTAGCAGAGCAGGGTCACACACCAGCTTTTCCTGGCATTTCCAACTTCCAGTCTCTTGGTTACTGTGGGCTTTTAAGAGGGCATCTTGATGCACGTAGCATCTCGGTTTGAAAGGGGAAGGAGGGCATGTACCTGGCTTACTTGGTTCTTTCTCGGAGGAAAGTAGAAAAGCAGATAGCAGAAATGAAGGCAAAGCTGTGTTGTAACTTCTCGGCTTCTCTGGACCACTCAATACGGGACACACACAGCATATGATATATTAAGGTGAAGTATTGAATATCCATAAGGGAGTACTAGCAAATGGTGTCAATTTTCAAACACTTTGCTTTGTCAGCTTCACAAATTTAAAATCAATCATCAAAAAGCATATAGATCAGCCGAAGAGACATAAAACCTTATGATTATCTCCCTGACAAAAAAGTTGAAATTAAAGATGAGTTTATAAAGCCTCACCCTGGCAGAATTCTGTAGTGCTAAAAACTGGGGTCATCCAACCTCTCAGTTTAGAAATAAATGCTAAGGAAAAACAATGACACCCAGCGCACCGCTAATAAATACATCTCAGAGGGCACTTGAACACGCAGAAAAATAGATTTCACAGAGGCTTAGTTTCAGCATGAATGCCATTTTCTCACTGCATTATCATAAACATGAGAGAAAAAACAGCAATAAATAAAAAATCCTTGGGCAGTCCCTGTAGACTTGTCAAAAATATGTAGTTTTTGTACGCCGCAGTGTAAAAGTATTCATTAAAATTAATTTTTAAAATGCCCTGTCCAATGTTAGTTGCCTGATGTCCTTCCTCTGATCATAAATTATAAATGAACTGGCAAAAAATGAAGAAACCAGGATTCCATTAATGAATTATTTAAGTGTGATTGTTAGTTTTTGCAATCATTGGGCTAATAAGCTCAGGCTTGTGACACTGAAGTGTTTCTCATTTGACGGTGATGATGATGGTAACGTTGTTAACACCATTATCAGTGTGTCCTGTGGAGCCTAAACCCAACCAGCTCCTTTGGTGGCTACACAGTGGCATGGCCACTGGAGCTTTCCGTTGGCCTGTACTGCAGGAGAGGGAGTTGACACTGAGGAAAGTCTGTGAACAGGGTTCGCTGGGTGGCTCCCCCCAAGGCAACACTTTAAAAAAGGCAAGGAGCATACTGACACGAGAGGATCTTCTCCCTGCAGCAGCCTGCCAGTGCCGGCAGCACACACTACCGGCTTGGCCCATTCCAGTGGTGGCTCCGGGAGCTCCAGTGAATCCGAGAGCAGCTCTGAGTCCGACTCCGACAGCGAGAGCAGCTCCAGTGACAGCGAGTGCAACGAGGAGTCGCGCAGTGCCACGCCAGAGGTAAAGCCACCCTCGGCTCCTCCTCACTGGGGGCTCGGAGTAGGGAGCTTGGAAGGGAGTGAAATCCTGCTCCTTGTTAGGAAAATGTTGGAGTTCTGTGCTGTTTGATGCTGTTGACTGTTTTCTCCCTTTACAGTTTTATGTATATGACCCACATACTCATTCTAGCTTTTGGAAGAATCCTTCTGGCCTACATTTGAATTGCTTTAAAGAAATATTTAGATTTTTGCCAGTAGCTAGAGAAGATTTTATTGACACAGTATTCAGCTGGGACTAAGGAAAGGCAACATGACAAAACTATGTCTTCAGGGACCAGCTAAACTTTTTAGTTGTATTAAATTTCTCCAGGGCCACATTGTAAACCAGATAAGGAAGCCTAATTAACCATAAATACTCCATAAATACTCCCATAAAACTAGCAGTCACCACTAGTTGACTGAAATAAAAGGGTACATTAAAAATGTTCTCATTTAAAGGGAAAATCATTGCTTCTGTCTGAAATTTGTTCCTTGTCATTCTTCAAACTGCAGCCTGAACCTCCCTCAACAAACAAATGGCAGCTGGATAAATGGCTAAATAAAGTGAACCCCCACAACAAGACCATCATCAACAATCAAAATGAGCCTCACAGCGAGACCAGCTCCCAGGCCCAGAGCAACCAGCAGGCCGAAGGGCCAAACAAAGGGAAGCTCAACAGCAGCCTGCCCCCGACCGATTCCAAAGACCGGGCGATCCTTAGTCCCATCCGAGAGAAAGCCAAACCACGGGTTGCCCAGAAAACCCCAGATGCAAAAAGCTCCAAGCAGAAGTCACCAGCTCATAATGAGCCAACGTCACAAAGGACTACTGGGAAAAAGCAACCCAAAAAGGTAGAAAGGACTTCCAGTGTAGAAGAGTATAACTGGCCCAAACCAAATAATACCAGCAACACTCCCAAAGAAAAAGACACACAGGAACCCCCCGAGCAGCCAAAGGTTCGAACTAAAGCAGCAGTTGGGAAGACCGCTCCAAGGAAAGAACCACGAACTAGCACAGGTCTCACTTCAGAGAAGAAAAAGTACAGAGGCCCCAGCAAAATTGTTCCTAAGTCCCGGGAATTCATTGAGACAGATTCATCTACTTCTGACTCAAATACAGACCAGGAGGAGAATTTGCAGGCTAAGGTATTGCCAGCTTGCACCGGGTCTGGCAATGGCGTCAAAGTGAAGGACTCTGGCAGTAACATCCTCAGCGTAAGTAGTTTAACTAGCAATGGCAGCAACGCATCCATTGACCAGACCAGCAATGACTTAGAGGAGCAGCTCTTTTCTCCTATCCCAATCGTACAAAATGAACTTCTGTCCCCACTGAGAGAATATGAAGAATTCAAATCTCTGTGGGTGAAAATAGACCTTAGTTTACTCTCTAGGATACCTGGACAAGAGCCTTTTGAGAACACATCTGTGAAAAGTGAACCAAGAGAGGCAAATGTGAAACACAGGCGACCATCTCGAGAGTCCCCTACCCCAGCAGCTGAAAAACCATCCACAAAATCCAAAAGGAAACACAAGGTAAGTTGTGTTTATCGTTCAGAGGTCAGGACCGCAGTCAGTGACTCCTCACTGCCCCTGCAGCAAGGCTGTAAGGAGACATCGTAACACTGAGTCTTTGCTGTTTTCACCAAGGACATACATTTACGAGTGCATTACAAATTAACATCAGAAACTAGGCAAAAAAACCCTCCAGCTGACAAAATCAATGAACAATGTATTTTTTTGAGATTTGTCTTACAAGCTTTTTCAGCGTATTTGCTCACTTACCCATTAATTTCCAGTGTTCTGTAATCTGCAGAAAGATTCCCAATGTTCGTATTGCTACAGGTTCAGCCATACTCAGAAAATGTGGCTCCTATTTGGAAGGTAGCGTTTTATTGTCTGCAGAATTAAGGCATTTTAACCACTGGCTTTAACAGGCGTAGCTTCATTAAAGTCAATGGAATGGTGCTTGCTTATGCTCCTGGTGAATTTAGTCTTTATATTGTTTTGTTGTATAAACAAATGTGATTCATAGAAATATCATTTGCTTAACTAGCTGCTTTCTCTACACAACTACCTGAAATAGCAAATATATTTTGACTTAAGGCGTTATGTTTTATCATGTGTTTTATGTTATTTATGCCCAAGGGTATCCTACCTTGTGCGATATGACAGTGTACTTCAAACTAAATGTGTTTTCACAGAAGAATCTGAAGTTTTATACCATAAATGAAATTTTGTAGTCACTTTGTCCAGCTGAAATGGTTGTGCTCTGGCCGGTCTGTGAGAAGTCATCATAGTGTCATTTTTTTTATCCTCCAAATTTTATAAATCATTGTGAATGTGACTTCAGCTGTCTGTTGTAGCGGACTTCTTGAAAATCCTCAGTCTGAGCAGTCCAGTGGTGCGAAAGAGTTAATACGAGACAGAGACAGACAGCGCCAGCAGACCCAGGGTCTGCACCCCTGCCTCCATGAGTCACCGCGCTGGCTCCTTCCCTCTTGAATTAAGTGGAAATAATCACATGAGTAAACTCAGCAGGTTTTTATTCAATTTATATTCTAGCTGTACACTAAAGGCAGAGATGGAAGAAGGAAGGCGAAAAGAAGAAAGAGGAAAGGGATGTATAAATGTCTGTGCTTATGTGTATGTATAAGTATAGCAAGGTGTATATTCATTATAGAAAAAAGCTTCTGTCTAGGTAACTTAGTGGAGTGTCAGTATGATGGAGGAGGAATCCTGGCTAAAACATGACTATGGTATTGGCAACTAAACTGGGGCTCCCAGGAAAAGAGGAAAAGGCTTATGTGAAAGCTGGAACCTCATAATTTCATGAGCGGGGACTTTGACTCAGAAAGTAACAAAATTGGGGCTCTCGCTCTGGGACTGTACAACGTAAGCTATGCTCTGGAACAGCCTGCTCAGGTGCTGTGTTCACTGCTACTCAGGGGGAAACAAACCAGTTAGGATGACTGGAGGGTATATCAACAGTTAAAGCAGGGTAGGGAGAGCCTGGTTTGTGTTTCTAAATCATGCTATTAAAAGATTTATTTTAGCCATCTACTTGTGGGCTTGAAGGCTGCTATGAAGGTTCCAGTGACAGAGCAGTAATCAGTTTTGCTTGTATCATCCTGGTTCAGGTGCAAAAGTCATGTATCAGGGAATCTTTCAAAGCAAATTTTAAGCCAGCTATCGCTGTTAATGACTATCCCAGTTCAGTCCTGTACTCTTTTAGTCCTGTGAGGAATACTTACTCAGGGAAGATTTCCCATCAGCTTCCATTAAGTCAATGAGTAAAAGCTATTTACTTGAGTAAGATTTGGTGCTATCAAGTCATTCCATCTGAATTATTAAATTCCAGTGCACTATAGAAGATAACTACAGCACATGAGGCGTTTTGCTTCCCAGCTCTCTGGCTATGTCACTTGTTATATAACTTCATGTCATGTGTTTGGAGCACGTTTAGCCCTCATTTCAGGTGACTTTCGCTTCTCTTAGACCAGTTTTTTAACTGCTGCTTTTGTAAAGGAAGTACACTGAGATTCCTGATCTCCCCTTAATGGCAAGTGAAGTTGTGCGTAGATGCTGTTATCTTTCAAGCTCTACCTTTTTTGTTAAAGCAGACGGAAAGCCTGGATACCTTTGTTGAAAACAAGAAGCAGCGCCTGGAGGACCCTTCAGCTTCATGCCTGCTCCCACCCTGTATCTCTCCGATACCGAATCACAGATTAACCAGCACTAAAGAGTAAGGTTGTTTTTTTTTCACGTAACATTCGTGAGGGATTTCACAGTACTGTTCTACGAATGTCTTTGCTATAGAGCCAGATGGGCTTTACAGCCCATAAGCCTAAGTGACCTGGCATTGCTATTCCCATCCATCAGGGAGAGGATCCACATGGTTTTGGATGAGATTCATTCATCCTTCTGATGGACTACAGGAATTCAGAGTGCCACCACAATTCTGGTGTACTCTTCTACCCCCATAATGCATCCTTTCAATGTTCTTTCTTGCCTCCATCATCCTTAACCTCTATGGCCAGAGAATCCTACTAAAAGTGGGCTTTACTTGATTGTTTGGAATTTATTTTTAAAAATAATTTCTGCAAGAGACAGTTCTCAGTTTTATTGAATGAAATAGTTACTTTCCCATTCACTTCAGCGGCTCTTATTCTTTAACTGTGTATACAGCAATGCCAGGGGTGACCATCCTAAATGTTTCAGACATACGTGCTTTGTATTTCAGCAGACGTATAATCAAATAGTTTGTGCCTTTCAGAGTGTCTTTGAGACATGAGACATGGCTATAATGCCTGAGCAAACAGGCACCACGTAAATAATGATTCTGATTAGTATAATCACAAGATTAACATTCTATAAATAACCAGAGTCCAGTTTCTTTCTGTCATCAATTTTGTGCTTTTACGACTTTGAGATGAGGCACTTCTTTCTGCTTTGCACTAGGAGAAGCAAAGAATCAAATCCACGATGTGCTTCTGAAAACAATTTGATGGTAGCAGTATTTAAATTTAGATAAAGTTAAAAAATAATTTATGAAATAGCACACAAATTTTAAAATCCATAAAGAAGATTGAGCATCATTTTATTTATACTGGTGTAATTACAGCGTAACTTCAGTCCTTGAACTAACCCTTTATTCCACCACTGAGAAAATCAGAGTTGTAATCTGGAAAAGGCAGCTGAGTTGAAAGTTACAATGTGATCTGTAACGTGTTGCACATTTGACAAGCATCATGATGGGTGTTGCCTGATTGTCATTGCTAGAAATACAATGAGCAGAGATGTATTGCAGAGGGAATCAAGGATTATCCATCCCCAACATCTCCACAATCCATTAAAAAAATCTTTCTATTCTTGTCACCAGCAAGCCCTAAGGATCCACCCCCAACCTGATGTTTCTTAATTTGCGTTTGTTTTCCAGGTCATTAATTTGATTCCTTGGAGCTTTCGAGCCTTTGGTATTCTCTGTTAAAATATAATTGTGTCCATCAATAGTTCTTTCCATATGCTAGCTGTTCCTCTCATCTGCCTCAAGTTTTGAAACAGAATTTTCTGACATCTTTCCCACTGTGGTGATTGAGACCTGGATCACACTGCATTTGTTATTACTGTCTTATGAGTTCACTTGAAACAAATGCAATATTGTTTGATAATTCAGGTCTTCAACTCCCAGAGATGTGCAACTGAATATAGATCAACATATTTCCCAAAAGATTAAGGAGTTGGCTCAACTGTGTGATGACAAATTTCTGGAGAGCCCCAGATTGTTTTTAATCAGTCAGGAGTAGTTCTGTTCTCCAGAGGGTTAAATAGAATTTTAAGGGGAGGCAGAAGAAAGGGGGAGCTGAAAGTGCACTGTCCAAGGGCGTGGGGAAAGGTAACACTTCAGTGGTGAAAGGTTGAAAGACAGGCTTTGCCATTTGCTCCTTTATTCCCAAAGGTCCTACATTTTCTTTCAGAACTCCTAAGTCTCTACGTAAGGTCTTGGAGGAATGAAGGTGATTCAGCTACAGGTGTGATGATGATGTTCATCTATTAGGAAGGTGTTACATCCCACAGTGGATGTTCTCACTCAGGAGAAATCTTAGGTCTCTCCTATTAGAGCTTGATCATAGAATCATAGAATCATAGAATGTTTTGGGTTGGAGGGGACCACTAGAGGTCATCGAGTCCAACCCCCCTGCAGTCAGCAGGGACACCGCCAACTAGATCAGGTTGCTCAGAGCCCCATCCAACCTGGCCTTGAATGTTTCCAGGGATGGGGCCTCCACTACCTCTCTGGGCAACCTGTTCCAGTGGTTTACCACCCTCATTGTAAAGAATTTTTTCCTTATATCTAGCCTAAACCTACCCCGATTTAGTTTAAAACCATTACCCCTTGTCCTAACGCAGCTGGCCCTACTAAAAAGGTTTTCCCCCTCTTTCCTATAGGCCCCCTTTAGGTACTGAAAGGCCGCAATCAGGTCTCCCCGCAGCCTTCTTTTCTCTAGACTGAACAAGCCCAACTCTCTCAGCCTGTCCTCATAGGAGAGGTGCTCCAGCCCTCGGATCATTTTAGTAGCCCTCTTCTGGACCCGCTCCAACACACTCTGGGGTTGATGCCTTTTCCTAAATCTGATGTTACACTTAAAATACAATTATTCAAGCTATTGCCACTGTATTTTCCCTATTTCCAATATTTCATAGCAAATGAAGGAATAAATGATGCTGTATTTTGTCCAAGTAATTCATACCAATACCTTGAAACACTGCTGTGAGGCTGGATTTTTGTCAGATCAGCTGCCAGCTTTGCAGCAGAGGATTATTTATGTATTTACTTGCTTGCCAGAGAAATTTTAATTTAAGCATTAATTGCACGTGCTGCTGAATACTATTTATATCTGAATACCTGACTGGTGGACCCAGCCTGGACAGAGCACTGTTCGCCAACATTTGGCAGTTTGTAACAACACAGCGAGTTATTTGCTGATGCAAACTGTGAGTCTGAATTTCAAACTCGCCTCACACCAGTGAAACATGCCTGCCGTCTAACAGGCACACTAGAAGCATTTCAGCCTGTTTTTCAAGATTTCCCATTGTCTTTTGTTTGACCTTTAGTTAAAGACGCACCTGTACTTGGCAACGTATATTAGCTGATCCCTTGGGTAGTCACAAGGGCGTGCGTTGGGGTTCGTTCACGGCAGAGGCAGGCTTTTCCACCTTTGACAAAGACTTTC